ACCTGAACTTTAACAGTCCAACTTAGAAACGTGCTTGTCAAGAGGGCAGGCTGGGGGGGAGGCAGCCCGGAGGGAATCTGGGAACATTTGTTCTGCAATATTATATGTCTAAAACTCAACTCTGAATAACTTTGTAAATCACAGTGCTTTAATTAAAAAAAGAATTTTTTTAAAAGAAAGAAGGAATTGGCCAGTAGCCCAGAAGTGAGATGGCCATTCAGTTTAGTTTTGTTTTTGCTCATTTATTTGCTCCTTTATTTTTTCCATTTCTGATGTTTATTCTGACCACAGAAAACGTGTTCCTGATCCCTTATTTATCTATAAGGTTACAATAATAATTTATGCTACTTAGGGATGTTAGGTACACAAGTTTTTACTAAATGCTTAACACATACAGAGCACTAATCGAGGGGAACAAAGAGGGAAAAGTATTAACAACGTTGGAAAGTCAAATATTTGGCACTCGCATTAAAACTCACTCCCATTCCCTTCAACCATTTCCCTCCTTTTCCTCAGTGGTCCTGCCTTACTATGAAACTCCGCCCTGCCTACAAATGACCAGATCGTGCTTTGGTTAGAAATGGAATCTGAAGGATGTCGTAGGTAGACCAGATGCCTCAGAGCGTTGCTGCCTGCCTCTGCAGAGAACTGGACTGTCCGAGTCTGTTCATTAACAACAGTGGTGGCGGGCACCATGAGTGGGTCCTGGTCCCTTAACCACCTTCAGGTTTAGATGAGTGAGGAACTAGAAATTGTTCAGAAACAGAACAAAGAAGGTAATCTCTCAGTGACACTCAGATTTCCCTGTCATCCTGAGATTTGTACAAATCCTGTTTTTAAAATCAGTGAGTAAAATGATTTCTCGATTTATAAAATTAGGGCATTCCACCAAGCATTTAAAGAAGGATTAATATCAACTCTCTGCAACCTCTTCCAACGCATGCAAGAGGGGGGGAAGAATCTATTAACTCAGTAAAGCTGGTGTGATATGATCACAAACAAGATGAAGCCATCACAAGAAGAAACCATAAGCCAGAATTATATATGAGGCTGGATACAAAAATGTGTCAGCCCAATACCGGGAAACTAAACGTAGCAGCACATAAGAAAGGATTCCATGCCACGAATGGCAAAGGGGTTCATTCCAGTAATTCAAGGCTCATCGGCATTGCATACCTATGGAGACTATACTAGTATTTTTACTTAGCATATTATACATATGTACTAGTACACTAAAGAATCATACCAACAGACAAAACTACTTGGAAATGGAGTGGGGGTAAAAAAAAAACTTGTCCTTTCATTATAAGAATATTTAGTAAATTTGAAATATACTTACCCTGATAAAAATTTTTCTTTAGCCAGATAAAAATCATAAAACAACAATAACAAAAATAAAAACAGGTGACTTCCTACTCAGTGCTAAGATATTAAATTAGATGGGAAGTTTCTCCCTAAGATCAGGAAACTATCAATGAAGAGTACTGTCTCTCATTATTCATATTCAATACCATCATAGAAGCTCTTCTCTGTGTGTGTGTGTGTGTGTGTGTGTGTGTGTGTGTGTGTGTGTGGAGTGATGGTGTGGAGGGTGGGGGGTTGTTCCCCACCGGGAACTGCTGAAGCTTTCTCCTGCAAGAGGCTTACATGCTGTACTATCTCTGTGGCCCATTGACTTAGAAATCCTCACCAAGGCAGCTCGGCAAAAGTGAAAAAGGCATTGTAAATTGGAAAGGAAGAAATCAAACTGTGTTTACAGCCAACATGACTTTATATGTGGAAAATCCAAAAGCGTCTAGAGAACCATGAAAAATAATAAATAAGTTTCTCCAGGTCACAGGATAAAAGATCAGTAGGCAAAAGTCATTGTGGCTCTCTGTACGAAGAATGATGTCCCAGCTTATGAAGTTCATTCACTCCTATTAGCATCAGAAATCATGAAATTCTTAGGAAGAAATAGAACAAAATGTGCTGAATGTGTCACATATAATATCTAAAAATGCTGGTGAAGGAAGGCTGGAGCGATAGCACAGCAGGTAGGGCGTTTGCCTTGCACACGGCCGACCCGGCTTCGATCCCTCTGCCCCTCTCGGAGAGCCTGGCAAGCCACCAAGAGTATCCCGTCCGCACAGCAAAGCCTGGCAAGCTCCCCGTGACATATTCAAAATGCCAAGCACAGTAACAGTAAGTCTCACAATGGAGGCGTTACTGGGCCTGCTCGAGCAGATCGATGGACAGTGGGAGGACAGTGACGGTGACTGGTGAAGGAAGCTTACGAAGACATAAAGACGCTTTTATGCCATGACAGGCTCAATCAGGAGCCAGGCCTAAGGTTCGGTTTCCTAGACTTAAGTAAAGGTTTTCCTGAGTTACAGTTTCCTGAAGTGATGTGACCAGCCAGGACAACCAAACAGAAGCGACCAGGAAAGTCCCCGGCCACCGCCTCAGCCTGCCTCTGGCCAGTCAGAAGTTACCAAGTAGCTGGAAAGCCTCCTCGACCACTGCCAAAGACAAACCCCTGTTACGAAAGGCTGGGAGATAAAATCCCTGCACACTTGTGGCAAGGGGCCGCTTGCTCCGAGGAAGCTGCTGCGTCTGTGAGCAGGACAGGGGCCCTAGCTTGGGCTAGCCAATAAAGACCCTTTAGTACAACGGGCAGGGCGTTTGCCTTGCACGTGGCCGACCCGAGTTCGATTCCTTCGTTCCTCTTGGAGAGCCTGGCAAGCTACCGAGAGTATCCCACCCGCACGGCAGAGCCTGGCAAGCTCCCCGTGGCATATTTGATATGCCAAAAACAGTGACAAGTCTCACAGTGGAGACGTTACTGGTGCCCGCTTGAGCAAATCGATGAACCACGAGAGGACAGTGCTACAGTGCTTGTCGTGTCGCCACTTGTCTTTGTGTGATTCCTCTGGGGAGATCTCAGCCCCATTGAACAGGTAGAAAGTGAAAAGCCGACCCTGGTCTGGCCCGTCTACTGTGGTGCCAGCGCCTTTACCCATCTGTGCTCTCCTCTTGCTGTGCCAGGGCAAAGTTCCCTGGCTTCACACCTACCTGAGTTAGGGCTCAGTTCATCTCGGTCCTGAGCTCCATTACTTTTGTGAAGACTCTTCCAAAGACAGTCACATTCAAGGGCACCCACGGGAGCTGCCCTGCTACTTGGATCAAGGGCTAGGGTGAACGGATGGAACTCTTCCAAAGTCATTTCAGTCTCAGAGCTAGAGTTTGGTAAGATTATATATATATATATATATATATATATATATATATATATTCTTACCAGTGTCATAGGACTGATAAAAATAGAAGAAGCGTAAAAAATAAATCTCTAAATTAATGGGCCAAAATATCGTATTTTAATTTTGGCTACCTGTCGGATTCTGCATGCTAAATCTTATACTGGCTGTTTTGCAATCTAGTTTACTAAAGGTTTCAAATGGCATTGTCAGTATTTCTGTTAGATTCCGTGTGTTAGTATTGATTTGTATTAATTGCTATAGTAACTAGGTAGGCGAGGCCTTCGTGGCTACAGTTATCAGCATGCTTTCTTTGTTTAATAATTGTTTCAGATTTTAGATGAAATTTTTAATATTCCCTACATTATATACCAACGATTGTTTTTAAAAACCCGTTTCCTATGAAGATGGGCTCAAAAATGAGACTGTTGTGAATACTGAGAACTCCATTAAGTCTCTATGAAAAGAACCCTGAATTAAAAAAAAAAATCACATGTTAGGGGCTGGAGCGATGGCACAGCGGGTAGGGCGTCTGCCTTGCATGCAGCCAACATGGCCGACCCGGGTTCGATTCCCAGCATCCCATATGGTCCCCCGAGCACCGCCAGGAGTAATTCCTGAGTGCATGAGCCAGGAGTAACCCCTGAGCATCGCCAAGTGTGACCCAAAAAGCCAAAAAAAAAAAAATCACATGTTAGTTAAATTCTTAAGAAGCTTTTTTTCCCCCTGTAGATCATTTGTTTGATTGCATTTTCCCTTATAATCTAGCTACTACATGTTAAACTCAAAATAAATACCAATTTCAAAAAAAAAATAATTTCAGAAATTTGCCCCCCCCCACGCACACACCACTCCTGTCTACCTGTTCTTTCTTCTTCATTATGGACTCTGCATATTATCACACATGGATGTTTTCTGAGATCGAAAGATTTATCATTTTAATGACTGCGTAGTATTCTACCCCATGTATGTGCTCACATTCACTTAATGATTTCCCAATTGCATGTTTAGTTTGTTCTAATTTGTTGCTTTACTGTTGTAATTACGAACTCTCTGGCTAGCCTCCGATGTGTTTCTTTATATACTGTTCTTATTAGTACCTTAGCAAGATTTCCCAGTGCTCACTTTTCTTCATGGAGACAGAGGATTTTGATTCCCGTGAAAGGCTTACTGTTATTTAAAAAAATTTTATTGTGTAACAAATTAAACACGTAGAGGATTCCAAAAAAAAAAAAAAAAAAGAAGGAGGAAATCTTAAAAATCTTAAACGGGGACTTCCACTTACCTCTCCCCAGGCCCATGTTCAGATGGAGCTTTAATTCCGAGCGAGGCAGAGCCAGGGAGCTGGGCCCGTGTCCAGTCGCAGTGTCCACTAGTGGCCTCCTTCTCACATTGCGTTTCCTCCTTCATTGCTTAACTGCATGGCCATGGGATGTCCTAATGTTTACAGGCCAAGAACCTGAGCATCAGCCTAAGCCCAGACTCAGGTAATCGTCTGGTTTCTGGGAGGAGTGACCACCACCCTGTCCCCCCCACTGCCCAGTACTGAGCAGGTCTTCACCCTGAAGCGGTTTGCATCACAGGACCTTCCCCCCCCCCCCCCCCCCCCACACACACTCCAAAATCCCCCTGGCAACTCAGGAGACCCCGATGAGAGCAGTTTCAGACGTGCCCACCTGGGGCACCCGAGGGTGCACCCGCCAACCCCGCGAGCGCTCCTGTCCCCCGCGCTGAAGCCCGTTGCTCTCCCGTTCACTTTTCCAGGTCCTTGCACGTGCTTGTGTGCAACGCAGCTGCCTTCGCGCTGCCCTGGAGCCTCACCAAAGACGGCCTGGAGACCACCTTCCAGGTGAACCACCTGGGCCACTTCTACCTCGTGCAGCTGCTGCAGGAAGTCCTGTGCCGCTCTGCGCCCGCCCGCGTGGTGGTCGTCTCCTCCGAGTCCCACAGGTGGGTGCGGGCCCCCGCGTCTCCCCTCCGCCCGGCCCCCGGGTCCTTGGGGGTCTCCGACCTGAGCTGGGTTTGCTTGGCGAGCAGGCAGGGGCTTGCCCGATCTCGGGGGGTGCCCTCTCCAGTGGTGGGAAGTTGTCTGTCTGCGTTCTATCTCCAACCCCCCTCTCCCACCCACCACCGCTCCCCCCATTGATTTCGCTTGGCCATGGAATAATAATTGATTGAATCTGAATGCCTGACCTTTATTGATTTGTCATTCAGCAGTCCAACAGCTCCCCAAGAAGAATCGTGCAGTTATTCTAGCAGGAGAAACAATGCAATTAAAGACCGCGAGATGAAATCCAATTGTTTTATAATGAGAAATTAGGGAATTCAATGCAGACATTACTGTGTAATTGTAGAAAGGGAAGCACTGTAGTTGGAACGTATTAGAAATCTGGCCGGGGCCTTTTTCGGTTAAAATTTCAATTAAAACATCAGATGGCACTTCTTTCCTATGACCATTAGGAGAATATTCAATCGACTAAAAAAGACATTGGAAAATTTCATCGTATTTTCAGCGAATTTGTTTCAAGGCCCGGGTAAACAACTGTTTGTCTAAGGAGAAGAATTCGGAAGAGACAAAGGTTTTTTTTTTTTTTTTTTTTTAGCAGGGTGAGATTAGATTTAATACATGTTAGGGGAGATTTTCCTGGGGTGCCTGGAAGCTTAGCAGAGTGGCAGGGGAGAAAAAAAAATAATAATGTACAAGGGCTTGTTTTCCCCCCCTCTTCCTCTCCGTCTTAAGTCCTGAAATGTTTTAGTGACCCAGAATGAAGCTTATTTTTTTAATCATGCTTCCAGAAAATGTAACCCCTGGGACTTGGAAGAGAGAGACCAGCCAAGGGCTAGCCCGGACCCTTATCACTCTCCAGCACAGGGGCTTAGGGTGTAAGTGACACGCTGTGGAGAGATTTACTTCTACCATGTTAAATTTATGACGGCTGGGATGAAAGGAAAATGCCGGTAACACGTTCAGAGATACGAAACATTGGGTAATTAGGTGGGGGACAAAAAAAAAAAAAAAACCCTGGGCCTCCTTATCTTTGCACATCTCACCAGGCTGGTTCACGGAAGTGGCACAGGCCCTGCTCAGGAGCCGGGCGGGGGCGGGGGTGGGGTTGGGGGGCGGGAGGGGCACGCAGCCTCTTGAGCGTCGGCTCGGGACATAAATCTGCCAGCCCCAGTGGCTGGCCAGATGCAGGGGGGCACCGCGGGACGTGTTTCAGTGAGCTGGTGTTTAATGGGAGATGATGGGGAGTTGTCAGCTGCCCGCTTTCCTTCGTAAATGCGTGTCTCCGAGGGTAATTCATGAGATGTCTTTGTCCCCCCCCCCCTTAACTGGGGCGTAATTTGCGCCCGCCTTGGGGAGCAGCTGAACCTTAATTCTGTTTCAGAGATGGATTGAGGGGAAGGACCTCCGTCTCCCGCAGGAGAAGCGTGGCGGCGGCGGCTAGATGAGCCCGGCCCTCCTGAGTCGTGTCTCGGAGATGGGCCTGGAGACGGGCCTGGGCGCGCTAGTTCTTTCCCTGGGGTCCGCTCCCACCCCCCTTATGTAGGCTCGGACTTGCACAGCCCCGGACCCAGCCTGGACACTGGGTACGGTCACTGTGCCCACTCACCCCTCGCCCAGTCACAGCCCACCAGCCGCTGTAACGTGCCAGTGTGGGAGACCTAATTACCTCCACAAACCTTGGCAGAATCTCCTCCTCGCTGGAGTCAAGACCCCCCGTTACCGGGGGCGGGGGGCGGCAAGTAAAGTCTGATGTTTGCAGAAAATATGACCGCAGACTGTCCCGGGGCGAAATATTTATGAGGCTCCCCGTGTCTTCCCCGAATTTTAGTTACTTATCTGGAGTCTGAGTGAGCGAATTGAGTTTCTGCATACCTAAAATGCATCGTATTAAAAAAAGGAGAGCTTGGCCGCCTTTGCCGTGAACATTTTTCAGATAACAATTAAAATAGGACAGGAAGCGCCAAGTGCAGGCAGGGAGTCTCCAGGGCTGCGGCTGCAGTGTCGTGTTAAATTGCTGTACACACACACACACACACACACGTATGCACACGTACACACGCGCCCACATACATGTACAGACATGCACACACGGGCACACATGCGTGCACACACAAGCCCACATACATGTACAGACATGCACACATGCACACACATGCATGCACACATATCTATGCACACATAAGCACACACACTCAAGCACATATAAACACACACATACTCAAACACAAATGTGTACATACATAAAACATGCATACATACATGTGCACACATGCACACACACGCACACACACATGTACTCAGACCTGTGAACACATATACACACACACAAGCACACAGAGGTCATGCAAACCCACTCTTTTTTTGAAACACACTTTTTTAAATTAATTAACTTATTTATTTTGAATACCCATTCCTCCACCAGTGATCATTTCCCATCATCACGGATCCCAGTAACCCCCTCCCCAATCCCACCCTGCCTCTGTGTCAGGGCATTCCCTTTTGTTCTCTCTCTCCTATTGGGTGTTGTGGTTTGTGTAAGAGTTAAGCCTGATTTTCAGGGAGAAACGTTGGATGATTTACTTTCCATTGATCACTTTGTATATAGGGAGATGTCGTGCGGTCTCATAAGTGGCCACGTGGTTTGGAGTAATAGTCCTGGTTCCCGCATACTCGAGCTATGCTTGTAGAGGTTCCTGGTCACCGGGGTTCCATCTGGAGGAGGCGGGATGCGGCACCTACCCTATCTGGGGCTTCCCGGTGATCTTGGCTCTTTTTGGGACCTGGTGCATTCTCCAGGAGCTGTGGAGCCGCCCAGCGGCCTTTCTTCTCTGCGGCTGTGTCAAAACACACTTGTTTTTGTCTACCACAGAATCCTGCATGTTGTCTCAGCTTGGCCCTTTAGAAAGCCTCAGTTGGAAAGGAAACGCTCCAGGGGCTGGAGCCGTCCCAGGGGTGGCAGCCCCCAGCCCCCAGCAGCAAACGCCCATGGCCCATGGGAGGGCCCCGCTCCTCGCTGGGCAGGAAACTCCTTCCCCTGGGCATCTTCTTCCTTGGCTGCATCCGTGTTTCAGCATGGAACCGCCGTGGCCTATCCACGCTCACTGTACGTGGGGCGCACTACAGCCTTCTTGGCCAACCGGCCCGCCTTGGGGGCACCCCAGAGCTGGCCCACTCTTTGCCTCCTAGGAGGATGGTCGGGACTGACGGATCCGTGGGACCTGGCGAGTGGCACCCATGCCAGGGGGCGGGGGAGGCCGGGCTGTGGGAGCCAGCCCCGGGGCATGGGCAGTCAGTGGACAGTGCCCAGCTGCGGTCACTGCAGAGAGAAGCTACCCTCGGCAGTGCTAGGGGGTGCCCTGGGGCTGCTCTAGTGATGCCCAGCCTGGCCGTGTGGCTCTGTGATGGGTCTGGTGATGCCCGGTGGTGCTGGGGGCCACCGGAGGCCCTGCTCAGGGAAACTTGCAGCACAGGAAAGGCCACGTACCCCGCCTCTGGAGCTGACTCCCAGCCTCCTGCCTGCGGGGATTCAAATTTTCTCTTCGTTCCGCTCCTCCTAAGCTGTGGGCCACACTCAGGCAGCCACTGATGCCACGTAGCCCCTTTGCAGGCCAGTGGTGGCACTTTGGGGCAGGAGATGCCACCCCACACTAGGGACCGGGTTGAGTGAGTCTCAGAGGAGACGTTTTGCTCCCCTGGAAATATGATCGTCACCCCCCAGCACTCCCTGTGCCGTGATGCCCTTCAAGATCCCGGCTGTCCCGAGCCCTCTAGATCCCCGGCAAAGTCCTTCTCCTCCAGCGTTTTTGTTCTTTTTTCCCCGGCAACCCGCACATCAGGTGTCCCGATGATTTGGAGCCGGGGTCCTGAGTTCGTGTGATAAAGCAAAAAAATAAACAGGGGCGCTCCTCAGCTAAGCGCCAGAGACCCAGTAGAGAAAAATTCCTTTGTTGAGGACAAACCCCCCCAACCTTCCTTTTTTTTTTCTTTTTCTTCCTTGAGGTTACTCTCTACTTTGTTGTTATTTAAAAAAAGGAAAGAAAAGAAAGAAACCAGCAGCTGGCGTTTAACGACTCCGTCAGACCCAATTATCAGACATCAACTACTTACTTTGATTCATGGGAACCCATGCCGGGGGAGGCTTAAAACCAGGCGAGCTCATTCCAGCTTTGTTTACATTTATCTTTGAAACATAGAAGACTATTGATGGCACCTCACCAAGGTTATAACCCCTTTATAATCATTAATTTTTAATCTGGAAGAGCGTCGTGGAGGCAGCAAGACTCATCTGTATTTACTCGGGTGCTCCAAGGAAAAGGCACGAGGAGGGCCCCCCGCGCCGGACTCAAACAACCCAGGAAAGTCCTGTCAGGGGTTAGGAATGTTTGAGCGTTCTCCGCTTCCAAAAGCAGCGGGCCTTTATTTAAGATGTTTTCCCGTTTAATTGAATTACCCTTGAACTTCCCGGGGAAAGGTTTTCAAACAAATACATGCACGAGGCGGGCCGGAGGGGAGCGGGTTCTGGCCGGGCCAGGCGGGCTGGGCCCCTTTGGCAGGGCCGGCCCTGGGTAGCGTCGGCCTCCGTGAACGCTGTCCCCTGCTGTGCATGTGGGAGAGAAGCTTGGGCCCACCCCCCGCCCCACGCTGTTGGGGGGGCTTCTCCCACCTCTGCTCAGGAGCCGTCCCTGGTGGTGGTGGTGGGTCCAGATGTGGTTGGGGAGACTTAAATCTCAGGGTGAGCCACCTTCCGGGCCCACCCCCCGTGTCTCTTCAGGGGGACCGGGTGGTCCCATCTGCACAGTGATGTCTGCAGGTCACTCCTCAGAGTTTCTGTCCCGATAAATAGTCACATAAGAAGTCAGAGGTTGGGGGACTGGAGTGATAGCACAGCGGGGAGGGCGTTTGCCTTGCATACGGCTGACCCGGGTTCGATCCCCAACATCCCTTATGGTCCCTCGAGCACAACCAGGAGTGATTCCTGAGTGCAGAGCCAGGAGTAAGCCCTGAGTATTGCCGGGTATGACCCAAAAAGCCAGAAAGAGAGAGAGAGAGACAGAAACAGAGACAGAGACAGAGAGAGAAGAAAAAAGAGAAGTCAGAGGTTGTGACCTTAACAGAGTCCAGCGGGGAGAGCGCCTGCCTTGTGTGCAGCCAACCAGGGCTCGGGCCTCAGAGTCTGGCCAGGAGTGACCCCTGAGTGCCGGTCCAGGAGTGAGCCCCCGGCACGGCCAGTGGGACCCCCACGCCCGAGGTGGTCTGTCTGTGTCAGGGCCGGCATCTTCCTCTCCCAGGTTCACGGACATCAATGACTCCTCGGGGCAGCTGGACCTGAGCCTGCTGTCGCCCGCCCGCGGCGACTACTGGGCCATGCTGGCCTACAACCGCTCCAAGCTCTGCAACATCCTCTTCTCCAACGAGCTGCACCGCCGCCTGTCCCCGCGCGGGGTCACCTGCAACGCCGTGCACCCCGGCAACATGATGTACTCGGCCATCCACCGCGGCTGGTGGTTCTACACGTTGCTCTTCACCCTGGCCCGGCCCTTCACCAAGTCCATGGTAAGCGGACGCCTGCGCCGTCTCTCGCCGTCTCTCGCCGTCTGCCGCGTCTGCGCCTCTTGTCACGTCGCTTCTTGTGACAAGGTCTCGCCCTTGGGTGCCACCATTGGCGTTTGTGTCTCTGTCTGACCAGCCCAGGGCTGCTCTGAAGCCGGGCCCCTTGGTGTGGGGTTCCGTGGGGCTACGAGTCTTGGTTTGCTTTGGAGGATCTGTTGAGAAATGCGCCTTCAGCAGGTCGCCCTTGAACCCCGCGCGGGCGCCATGGGCGGCCCCATCGTTGGCGTGGTGAGACACATGCATCTGGTGACAGTTGAATTATCTGTGGACGAGATTTGTGGGCACCGTGGGCAGGTCTACGTGATGTGTCCAACGCTTCTCTGACCCAGAGAGCTTCCCCAGGGGGTCCTCAGTGCCCCCCTTCCACAGAGAGCTTCCCCGGGGGTCCTCAGTGTTCCCCCCACCCCAGAGATCTTCTCCATGGGGTCCCCCAGTGTCCCCCCACCCCCACCCCGGCTTCCCCAGAGGCAAGTCTCCTAGGCAGTTACAGGTCATGGGGCGATTTGGACACATCCACCAAGGTAAGGAGGAGGGAGTGTGGCCGTCCGTCTTGGAGTCCCCGGCAGTCACCCCGTCTGGAAAGTTCTTTCAGCAAAGCATCCTGGTGGGGGAAGCCGTTTAAATGAAGAACGCGCGTTTTCACATGCTCTCCCCGACCCTTCGTACTTTTCCATGCCCGGGCCTTCCGCCGTCCGTGTAACCAGCTCAGGATCGCAAGCCCCTTTCCCCAGCTGCTCTGTGGCCTTTGAGAGGACTCAGGTCACATGGCTGTCCTCCCTCCTCCCGGCCCGATGCACCCATGATGGCCTCTGGATGCTGACAGTCCCCCGTCATGTTGGTGGACGGATCTTTTAATGCCAGCGGGACCTTGGGAACCGCATCGGTGTGCACGAGTGACCCTCGGCGGTTCCCAGGCAGAGGAACAGATGGGGACCTGGGGTGGGGACCGGGGAGCAGAGGATGTGGGGGGCCGGCCAGCTCCCTGAGTCCCAGCTGGGGGTGACTATCACCAAGTGCAGGGGTGGAATGGCTTAGTACGCTGATCATGAGGTCCCCGGGTCTCCGCCTGGCTCCATGGCCCCCTGAAGATGCAGGTTCACTGGACCTTGATCTCGGCCTGTGGTCTGATTGGCCCATTGGTGTGATTGACAAGGAGGAAGGTGGGTCTAAGCAAAGGTCTCTCTGGGATGATGATTGGTCCAGGTTCAAGGTCAGGAAGAGGGGTGAGGAGGGAGGGCCCCCTCACCCCACTTTCTTGTCTTCCTACTGGCCCTGTGTGGGCCTCTGGGTCTCCGTCCCATAGACGATGTTTCCAGGGAGTGCTGGCCTGCGCCCGGATGGCGTGAGGAATGAAGGGTCCTCCTCCCAGGAAGGGACTGTCCTGGCTTGTCCTCCCCGCCCAGCTTTGCTGCAGGTTCCCTCATCAGAGGGTGGTGCTGGGTGGGCCGGTCGTCACCAGTGGGATTCGAGGCGGGGGGACGGGGCCCAGCAGCCTGTTGGCAGCTAATGATGGGGAGGGTATTCCCGCAGGATGGCGCAGGGAGACCGTTAGCTTCATAGCCACCAGCCACGTGTGGCCGCGGAGCCCTTGGAAGGGCCAGCACAGCCGAGGAAAGTGTTTTCCACCTGACTTCATTTTTATTTAGTTGATGGCGGCTTTGTGGCCGTGGAAGGCGCCTTTACCAAATGCACGCCGAGCATGGCGTCTGTCTGTGCCACTCCATGGCTGGGGCCTGTCCTGTTGTTTAACTTTTGGAGAAGATCGTTCTCCCAAATGTCGGTACCCTGGGTGTTCACTGGTGCTCCGGGGGGGTGGGGGGGGGTATGTTGCTGCAGACGCTCAGCAAGGGGGTTACGGGCCCCGCAGGGTGTGTGGGAGGGGCGCTTGCTGGGGTGTTTTTCATCCTCCCTGGCTGGTCTCTCCACTGGGGAAACGAGCGTGGAGCGAACTTGGCACGTTTCTGCCCCCAAATCATTGGAAAACTTCCCGTTGAACCTGCCAAGTCGCACTTTTGACCGCATGTAGTAGATGAGGAAGACTCTGGTACCCGTGACTCAGGTGAGCTTCCCGGGGACAATCCTCAGTGTCTCCAGATGCTTATGCATTGGTGTCACGTGCTGGGAAGGCGTGTGACGGGAACTCTGCGCCCGTCTCTCCGTGGCCGGGCCAGGCGCTTCTCCGTCCCACACACCCGAGGTCCACGCAGGCAGGCCAGCGGTCATTTGGCCAGCGTGTCCACCTGGCGCGGGGCTGTTTCTCTGGTGGGTCCGACGGGAAAGGTCCACCCCGTGTTTCTGCCTCTGCCTGTTGCTTCCGTCGGCGCCGTGGTTTCGGGGGTGCAGGTTCCTGCCTGCCACTTGCCCATGAACCTTTCTCAGGAAGTGGCTGGCAGCGGCATTGAGCTGGGCCACAGGATGTTGAGAAGCAGCTTAGCAGAGAGGCCTCGGCCAGCCCCCGGGGGCCCTCCCAGCTCTGTTTGCACTTTGCAGGCCCCCTTGGCAGTTCCCTCCAGAGAAAGCACTCTCCCTCCGCGCGTTGTTGGACCACCCTCTCCTCTGACCACGGTCAGGACACGCTGGGCGCCTGGGGACCGGGCCTCCCCCACCCCCGCCGTCCCCCAGCCCCGTCTCCGGCCCCCTTAAGTATTAACCAGCAGTATTCTAATATCAGCATCCCCTTTTTTATTTGCTGTGACTTGCTGTGACTACGGTGATTTTAGTTACAGTAATTAGGTCACCCTTCATGGAGTCGGGCTATTTTAAGTGCCTCTTTAAGGGATATTGTTGCAGATCAGTAATTTTACAATTGGATGTTCTTGTGCAACTTTATTAAATGTAATCTGTCTTTTAAATGTTGCCCTTTTACAGTTATACATTTCTAATTGTTGCTGTAAATGCATTATCACTTTGAAATTAATTAATTTTTCATTTTGGCTGCCTGCAGTATAATAATCACTAATGAGAAACTCAAAGGAATCAATTCTCCGCACAGCGACCCCTACTGGCTGAGCCGTGTTTCCGCCGTCTTCCTCCTGAGGCCCAGGGAAGGGGCCGACTTCTGCCCCCACTTCCAATTTATAATGCCGTAGCAGGGATAGGTCAAAAGGGGAATAGAATTGTTAATGCTTTTAAAAAAAAAAAGACCCAGGATTCTTAACTAGGTGCTTTTGAGTCGACTTGTAGGAAACTCAGGTTTGCTTCAAACTTCCTCCTAACAAAGTCCTGTCCTCCCGGACGCAGTATGTAATTTCTCTGTCTCTCTGGCTTTATTTCACGAAGCAAATACACCCCCAGATTGTGTTCAAGGATCCTGTGTTCAGACACGCACCTTTCTCTGTGGGCTCCATTCTAACTGGGTGTTTACAGTGGCCGTGGAGGTCGCCCTGGTGGCTTTCAGCTGCCTGCCTGCTACCAGGTCATGTGTTCGGACCACCTGGCCCCGTCAGCATTCCCTGTGCCTCAGGGCACATGGTCAGACTCAGCACCCTCCTTTTGCAGTGGGGAAGGAAGGAAGGGAGGGAGGGAGGGAGGAAGGAAGGAAGGAAGGAAGGAAGGAATTGAGAAGGAGGAAGGAAGGAAGGAAGGAAGGAAGGAAGGAAGGAAGGAGAAAAAGAATTGAGGGAGGGAAGAAGGGAGGAAAGAAAGAAAGAAAGAAAGAAAGAAAGAAAGAGAAAGAAAGAAAGAAAGAATTGAGGGAGGAAGGAAGGGAGGGAGGGAGGGAGGGAGGGAGGGAGGGAGGGAGGGAGGGAGGAAGGATAGAAAGAATTGAGAGGGAATAAGGAAAGAAGGAAGGAAGGAAGGGAGGGAGGGACGGAGGGAGGGAGGAAGGAAAAAGAAAAAGAATTGAGGGAGGGAAGAAGGGAGGAAAGAAAGAAAGAAAGAAAAAAGAAAGAAAGAATTGAGGGAGGAAGGAAGGAAGGAAGGAAGGAAGGAAGGAAGGAAAGAAGGAAGGAAGGAAGGAAGGGAGGGAGGGAGGGAGGGAGGGAGGGAGGAAGGATAGAAAGAATTGAGAGGGAAGAAGGAAGGAAGGAAGGAAGGAAGGAAGGAAGGGAGGGAGGGAGGGAGGGAAGGAAGAAAGAAAGAAAGAAAGAAAGAAAAGAAAGAAAGAAAGAAAGAAAGAATTGAGGGAGGGAGGAAGGAAGGGAGGGAGGGAGGATGGGAGGGAGGGAGGAAGGAAGGGAGGGAGGGAGGAAGGGAGGGAGGGATAGAAAGAATTGAGAGGGAAGAAGGAAGGAAGGAAGGAAGGAAGGAAGGAAGGAAGGAAGGAAGGAAGGAAGGGAGGGAGGGAGGGAGGAAGAGGACCCCCCCTTTGGGGCTAGATCTGGGACATTTGCTCCATGGTTTTGCCTTGCCACGTGCACCACAGCGCCCCCCTGCGGTGGGCGTCTAGCTGTGCGAGTGTGTTTCTTTTGGATCTTGAAGGGACTTACACCCCCTACCCCAACAGACACACACACACACACACACACACACACACACACACACACACACTCACTCTCTCTTTCAGTTCTGGTCAACAACGTCTTAGCTCGCGTCCCGAGGGCCAAGCCAGCCCCTCTGTGGTTCGGTCTTGCAGACCCCAAGCCCAGCCAGGGCTCACGTGCCTCTGAGGGTGTTTTGTACAACCAAATATTTGTGTTGGCCGGTGACGGTAGAAAGAGTATCGGGTGTCAGGGTAGCGAGGGCTCAGCAGATGTTCGAAGGGCACTTGCGTTTTCAGATCATTTCCGTGAAGACACGGCTCGAGTTTGGAGGACTTCTGCCGCGCGGTGGGCTTCTGTTTCCCCCGGCCGCGCAGAGCCCGTCCTGTGCTGAGTTTGAACAGAGGCACAGCCCGGCCCCCTCCTCCCCCCGCTAATGGATGGACCCGCAACGCCAGTTCTATGGCAAAGTTATAAATTACGGCCAGGAAAAGCACAAGATGTCATTCTTGTAACCTTCGG